CCTGAATCACTTTTTGGAGCCTGTTACTGGTTCTATGATGCAGCTATGGAAAATACTGAATCAATAAATGTATAGGCAGCCCGTATTCAGGACCTGGCTTCCCATTGTGCCTTCAACAATTATCTTGATTGTGTAATGTTAGATAAATTTGTTATAGGTATGAAAAAAGGATCGATAAGGGATTGGCTGTTGGAAGAAAATCCTGCGAGTATTTCACTGCATAGGGCTATAAAAATAGCTACAGCAAAAGAGGCTACATTTAGGCAGTATAATTTAGATACAATCGCTTAAAAAGGTACCTGTGCACTTTGTTAATAGAAAAAAAGACAGACCATCAGACTCTAGGGGGCAAACTAATAAAAGATATCCAAAAAAATGTAGCATTTGTGGTAAAGTGGGTCATGATCCTGGCAAATGCCGTTTTAGAGAATATACATGCAATAATTGTCAGAAAATAGGTCATCTAGCTCGTGTGTGTAAGTTGGATAGCAGGGAACCGAACAACCGAGGGTTGAATTTCTTTCTTATCTTACTATATAGAGAAGGATGTATTTTCTGATCTGGAATACCTATATAAAATTTACAGATCTCCTAAGGAATCAGGATATCAGGTGAACCTAAACATCAACCAGGTTGATGCAGTATTTTAGGTAGATACTGGTTGTTCAAGCACTATTTTGCCACTTAAACTTTTTCAGGAGAAACTGCCTGGCTTAAAATTGGGAGCTGCAAAAGAAGACTTATCTCATATTTTCAGAAAAAGTGGGCACCTCTTGGCAGTTTAAACGTGGATGTGGACTATAACGGTCACATAAACTCCAATCTCAAATCTTATGTGGTTGAATCGGATTGTCCTCCCCTTCTTGGACGAACGTGGTTAGAGGAACTTCGATTAAAAATTATGAATAGCTATGAGACAAAACCTTTATTTTTTAGTAACGAGGAATCAATCAACAATGACGCAATACATTGTTATCTAGAGGTGTTTTCTGATTGGCTTGGAGCTTCTACAGGTGGAATGATAACATTAGAATTAAAATTGGGCATCAAACATAAGTTCATAAGAGCAAAGCCTGTGCCTTTTTCCATGAGGGCTAAAGTAGATGCTGAATTGGAAAGATTGGTGCAGGAAGGTATACTGATACCTATCAGAGAGAACTACTTTATTTAAAGCAGTGCTGCCCAACTATATAGGGTTGCTCGATACACAGTATACTCATCAATCCTTTTTTTTTTTGACATACAATTTCTTTTTCATATTATACAGCACAAACAATAGCAATACTATAATATACTAATACATAAAATTAGAAAAGCAAGAAAATGTTCCTCCTTAAAAGGAAACATATTTGGTAAATGACAAAATATCAAATGCGCAGTTATTGCATCGAAAAATGGGTCATCTTGGAATTGATAACCTGAAGAAACTCATAGGGATGGTGGATGGAATAAATGTCACTGAGCCAGAATTGAATAGCCTAGCTGACAACTGTGAGATATGTATTAAATCCAAACAAACTCGTTTGTCGTTTACTTACTACACAAAGAGAATGGGCACATCGAGTATGTCAAATTATCCATTCTGATTTGTGTAGTCCAATATCTCCAGCAACATATGACCAAAAGAGGTACATATTGACCATGTTAGATGATTATACTCACTTTGTCAAAATTCATTTGTTAAAAACTAAAGATGAGACTGAGGAATGTCTAAAAAACTAGATCAATGAATCAGAAAGGTTTCATAACTCAAAAGTTTCAAAATTAAGATGTGATAATGGTGGGGAGTATTCAAGTTTAAGTTTTAAAAATTGGTGCTGAAATAAAGGTATTATTTTAGAATACTCAATATCACACACCGCAACTAAATGGAAAAGCTGAGCGTCTAAATAGAACACTTTTAGAAAGAACCAGAGCATTACATTTTGATATAGATTGTTCGTTGTGTTTGTGGGGAGAGGTGGCCTTCACTGCTGCTTATCTAATAAATCGAAGTCCAACAGAAGGCACAGTACCAGCAGCAATATGGTATGGCAAAGTGCCGGACTTATCAAGACTTCAAATTTTTGGAACTACTGCTTTTACAACTAACAAACAACTAGGAAATATAAAAAAGTTGGAGAGTAAAACTAAAAAAAATGATATTCGTAGGATATTTTCTAAATGGTTATAGACTATGGGACCCTGAAAAATGTAAAATAGTTATATCCAGAGATGTAGTGAATACAAGGTCTTCATCGGATCGACAAATATTTAATATACACTTACAGGACAATTATTCAGAAGATAAAGAAGAAACTGAGGTGCAGTTGAAAGAAGATGAGAGAAATGTTGACACAGTCGATGACAATTCAACAGAAGGAGGTACTGCAGATGCAGTTGTGGAAAAATTGAAAAAAGCAAGTAAAACCCAATTGAATGATTTAGAAGGTGAAAGAAATGATGTAGAAAATCCTGTTTTTGAATCAGATCAAAAAAACGTGGAGGCGTGGAAAAAGAATTAAAAAACCTCCTGAAAAGCTCGAAGATTTTGTATTACTTACATAAAATGAAGCTGTCAATGGGCCTTAAAAAAAAAAAAAAAATGGATAGAGGCCATCAATGAAGAAATTATTTCCCTCAAAGAGAATAAAACCTAGATCTTAGTAAACAGAGATGAAGTGAAAGAGAAAAAGATTTTAAGTAATAAATGGATTTTTAAAATCAAAGACAATGGAAAATACAAAGCAAGACTCGTTGCGAGAGGTTTTGAACAGGAGTATGGTTTGGAATTTAATGAGACTTTATGTCCAATAGTCTGCAATGAATCGCTAAGAATAGTATTGGTAACAGCAATTAAAAATCAACATCATATTTTGAAATTTGATATTAAAACTGCCTTTCTATATGGTGATCTAAATGAAGAATTATATATGGAATTACCTGATAGATATGAAGAAAATAACCATGTTTGCAAATTACAAAAAAAAAATGTATGGATTGAAACAAGCATCCTATAACTGGAATAAAAGGTTTACAAACTTTTTAAAAAAGGAAGGTTTGTTTGCATTAAAATCTAATCAATGTGTTTTTGTGAACAGTGATAGGAGAGTTATTCTCGCAATATACGTAGATGATGGATTATTAACAGGTATTGATAAAATACAACTTTTAAATTTAAAGCTTCTTGAAAAACTCAAGGAAGAGTACCAGATAATTATTGAAGAAAACCCAACTTCCTTTTTGGGCATGGAATTGGTCATAAAAGAAGGAGGCTTGAGACTAACTCAACAAAATTACGCAAACCAGATTCTTGAACGATTCGGAATGAAGGATGCAAACCCTTCCGTGAAACCTATGGTGCAACAAAAAAGAGAAGAAAATGCAATCACTTTATCAAACAAGCAGACCAATTACCCTTTCCGAGAAGCAGTAGGTAGCTTATTGTATCTAGCTACAAAAACTAGACCGGACCTGTGTTACTCTGTGGGATATGAAAGTAGATACATGGAAAATCCGACTAGTCAAGATCTCGCAAATCTGAAATGTATAATGAGATATTTAAAGGGAAGTCTTAACAAAGGAATCGCCTTTGGAGAGGATGGTGAATCAAGAATCACAGCTTACTGTGATTCGGACTATGCAGGTGATGAGAAGACATGGAGGAGCACATCAGGATTCATCATTTTCTACAACAGAGGACCAGTTTGTTGGAGATCTAGGAGGCAGCCAATTGTGGCTTTAAGTAGTACTGAAGCTGAATTCATTAGTGCTGCTGAATGTTGTAAAGAGCTTCTATACATCAAAAACTGATCGAAGAACTAACAAATAATGAAATAAAGGCGACGATGGTAATTGACAACCTCAGCACCATTAACCTTATTAGAACAGGGATTAAGAACAAACGAAGTCAGCATATTGATGTTCGTTATCATTTTTTGAAAGACGTTTCTGATGAGAACATTGTAAATTTCGTTCATTGATATGCAGTTAGCTGATATTTTGACAAAGCCGCTTGGCAATTTAAAATTTGAAAAACTTAATGTAAATACTTGTACTTAATTTCTCTTTATATAACTTTTTATTAATTTCAATAGCCATTCTTATTTAATTTAAAATGTTTGAAAAATAATGGATAAATATTTTTGTTTGTAAGTTTGATCTCAAAGTTCATATTTTTGCTTGTATAAAATTAATAATAATAATAAAATGAAGGGGTTGTGTTTAAAGTAATTTTATTAATATTTATTACATATCGATCACATGTTATATCGATTATATGAATTTAAAAAAAATATTCATAACACATATGTTGTTGAGTTATAACCCTGTTTTTTCTATTAAGTTGTGTTGTTAAGTTTAATTAAGATTGATTTCCTTAGTTTAAAAAAAGCTTGTTGTTTATTCGATGTTTTGCACTTAATAAAAAAACCCATAAACCATTTATAAAATCAACAGATTGCATCCTCTCTGCCCTTATTTCTATCCAATGATATCCAAGAAGAAATGCCACTTTCAATTTCCCTCAATTTTATTTTTGGTAACACTTGACCACATCTGTTCCTATTTTATTTAACTTTATTTTCCATTTAACAACGGTAATTAAGTCCTCGGCATGTACCCTCCGATAAGGAATTCCATAGTAATTGTCCAATAATTGCTCCTGCCAGATTTTGAGAAGGAAAATATGATCCTGTTTGGCTGGCAAACATCATAATCCATCTTAACGTCAATTCATGGAACTTCTTGCTTTTATAGCTGATAGAATAAGAGTAGAACTGTAAAAAGTCTAAAAATTAACACTCCAGAAGAGCAAATCTTTCAATAATACCTGAGGAAAAAAGATGATCAGCCAAAAAAAAAAAAAGAAAAGCTATAAAACAAAAAATATTGACATAAAAAAAAATCAAATTCAATACAATCATCAACAATTAATGAATGTAAAAGTTATGTTTTAATCATTAAAATAACATAATTTCAAACCATCATAAACACTAATCACTCTAAAAAATAATTATTACCTGTAGTCTGTGAAATTCGTGTAATTGAACTCTAAGAAGATCTGATTCTCCCCCTGAGAGCTCAGAACAAACATCACAAGTACTTAGAATATCAGTTGGACATTCCGGGCCTCCACCAAACCTGTGGTCCATATAAAAATAAATAGCTTAAGTTATTTTTCTAACCTAACAAACTAAAATTAACATTATTTATTAATTCTTGCAGTGAATGGAGATAATGAAAAAACTTTCACAAATACAACAGTAATTGAAATAAGCCCAACAAAATCAGTTGCCATCAAAATAGTAAATCTCTAATTCAGAAATGCATATCCTTAATAGATTAACTAAGTTCTTTTGTATTCAATCAAAACATTATAAAGCTTTTAGCAGTATTTACATAAAGCTGAAGGATTAAATATTGGCCACATGAAAAATATTTTATTAAAATATACATGATTTTTCCAAAAACTTCATTGAGAGTCTCCAACAATTTCTTTGCTGTATTCCTTGATTCGACTAGTTATGATTAATGCTATTATTTTATGTTAGAAGGAGTCAGATTCCTTAATAGATGTCACATGTCCTGATGTTAGTCCCTTTTTTAAATCTTAATTAGTATATAACCTTGGTAATGGTAAACTTCCTTAGTTGATTATTTTTATAAAAATAAAAATGATAACATGTCACATTGTTAAAGTTCCATGACCTTTTCAGCTCGCTCAGAATAAAATACTCAGAAATATTTGACATAGATTAATCTACCTGCTTTAAATATTATTAAAGATCTTTTTTCGCTGTAGACCAACCTGGTTATGAGGTACTTCCAAACAGTTCCAGAGACAATCACATTTTCAGTGCCAGGAAAAAGACAATCATGCTGACAAAGCAGCAGCCTGTTGTCAACTGGACCAGGTTCTGAAAAACTGTTGAATTTGACCAGCCAATCTTTCGCTAGATAATACCTAAAATTTAAAAACAAGTAAAAATTATAATAAATAATTAACAGATTTAGCATCGTCAAAGTAGGTTACTTTGAACCAATTTTTTGGGATATTTATGATAATCTGTGCTTTTTATTCACTTTAAGAATCAGAAAAATCAGGAATTTCTTAGGGTATAAATAAATAAAAAAGCCTCTCATTAACACTGGTTGATATTTGAGTGTAATTGTTTTGGGAGAGGAGTGGGAAAGTGGTGCAAAGTTTATGTGTCAGTTGGAATAATTTGCAACCACTTTATAAAACTTATTAAAAACCCTGTATTGGATTTACGATAGTAGATATGTGTACTCACCATCCAGAAACAAGTTTGTTGCAAATCTTAATCGTAATCGATTATCACCCGTAGCACCCCGCCTTAAAGTTTTAACGCACTCGCAATGGCGGACGGAACATCATCCCATAGTAGGTCCAAAGATGATTCTTGTCTCAACCTTTCGATCGCCGCTCTTCATTTACCTTCACTCAAAAGCAAGTTTAACCAGAACCGACGACTTGAACTTAAGCGTGACGCTTTCACGCCGGAAGGTCAACGACCGACTCATAACTCCTTTGCAAACTCCCATGCCGATTACATACTTACCCCTGGCGCAGATAATTTGAACTATAAAGGAGAAACCATGAGTGTTAAGGAGGATTAACGAGATTATCATGTCTGCCACTTAGCCCGAGGCAACCTACAGAGTGAAGGCATCACATTCGGTACAAACGCGATCGGTCGAATCTAGCGGGTTTCTGACCCCATTTTTTGCAAATTTTCGATTTCGTGTGGTCTTATTTTATTCGTTGCTTACCGAAACTCTCCTTCCACAGAAATAATGCTTACTGAAGCTCTATCCGTGCATTAGGTTATTTCGTGATCTTCATTTTCGTTCCGTCAACACGTTTTTCTAATAACTTTTGCCGTTTCCGATCCCACATTTCGCAAATCTTCGATCCCGAGCAATCTGACTCATCGTTCACAGTAACTGTTCTCCCGAGGAATTGGTTCATACCAAATATTTATTCACATCGTGTGAATTATTTTTTGACTGATGTATCGGTGAGAGTACATGTTCCCCTCATGGTTTAATTTTGTCAATGTTCCTGGGCTCATGTTGGTGGTCGGCAAGGTTTACGGCGGCGGCGATCTTCTGAGAAAATCATTCTTGATTGGACGGATTTGTCATTGTACAACTTAATTTATGTTGCCACAATGCGTTAATGTATATGTACGTAATAGTTTATTCATTGTACATATTTCTTTATTCTATACTATTTATTTATTTATTCGCAAATTCTTATATTGCATTTTATATAATATTTATCGCATGTGCGTGCATGTGTTTGATTATTTATGTATTAGTTCATAGATATATTGCTTATTTTTCATCTTGTAAATTTGGATGCTGGAGGCAGTTTCACTCTCTTATTTTCTTATCGATAGAGCTGATTCCCAGCCTCTTACCACTTTGCTTTTTGCATTTTTGTCTTTTCATGTTGTATTTATATCCATGATTTTTGTATAAATATTATTTGGGATTACCACATATATTATAATTTGCTTAGAAATAATAACGCGAGCCCCCCCTCCGGGTCTCATCCTGTCCTACCCTGTCTCGAAGATAACCTTATCTACGAACAAAGTACAGATGCTTGACGGCAAAGCACGCAGCCACAGCTCTCAGCCCAATTAGAGAGAATTACAGCCCTTTGGCTATACATGTTACAGCCTTTCGGCTACACATTGGCTGGACACCAGTTCCAACACACTGGACAAGGCGAAAGACAGACACTTAGACGAGCGGCGGCATCGGGAGTGGGGGAGGGACCACTGGAGTGAGACTGGCTCCTCATCAAATTCTATGTTAAGATTACTATAATTAATTAACTCACTAAAACTAATTGCCTTCCAGGACATTAACTGGAAATTTAATAAAAGGAAATTAGCAAAATAAATAGTGACGTCATTCACAGATATTCCTCCATCAAAATTTTCACTTTTTATTTCACAAGAAAAGGTCTCTCCTATAGCATGTACCGGACCCCCCAAAAATTTGATTACTTTTCAATCTTTATAATTTCAGAAGAAGCGACTCAGCAATAAAGTTTGAGATATTTCATCTAACAGAGAATAACTTGAGGTAAAAGTAAAATACCTGCCAATTTATGTTTATCTTTCTACCAAACTTTGCATCAATGAATAAGATGTTCTCCTCTTTCCCTATCAGATCATATGCCCCTTAGACTATCACCTGTGGGCCTCATACAGCAACACAAGAGATTTGAACTCAAGAGCAATGTTATCTTTTACAGACCAAAGTAATCCACTTCAAGTAATACTACTTCAGCAGTAGTAAGAATCAATGTTTATAATATTTACTTTGAGGACAATAAACATTCCAATTTAATTATATAATAATCACTAAAATTCCCTCACCACCAATAATAATAACTGCTGAGAAAAGCATTATATATAATGTTAAAGAAGTGAAGAACATCCTAAAAGATGAGATCAGAAAGTCAAACTGAAGACTTCTAATCAATAAAACAATTCATAATTATTGTAAGAGTTCCTGAAAAATAAAAACATTAATATGAACAATATTTTTGAGTAGGCTTACCTTTCTGCTTCTGAAGAAGATATTTCTTCAAGTTTAGCAGCACGTTTCCGAGCTCTACTGATTTTTGAGTTGTCTTTTCTAAAAAAAAAAACATAAAACAATAAAATATCACAGAAAAACAAAGATAACAGACCTAGAAACAATTTACAAATAAAAAATTTAAGTTTTTTTCAAGTTAAACATACTTCTTTGTGAACAGAAAAATATAAACTTTTAGTTAAAAACTTCATCTAAAATGGAATATTTTTGAACTAATGTGATATATTGGCCAAGTAAGTAACCCAAAGAACAATATTCCTTTTTTGGAATATCTTGTAGCGGTTATGGCTAAATGAAACAGGTGACCGTCTGGGAATTCGCAGGTCATTTTAGCTGCTGTGACTACAAGCTGTGAGGACACTAGTGAATTGGCACGACATATATATTAGGCCAAAGTTGGAGTAACTTATATAAATAAGGAGAGACTCCTTCAGCCCTGGTTGCCAGTGTGGGGGCTGGTCTTGGGGTTAAGATCAACATTGAGGACATCGATTTTGTGGAGCGCCATAGACCTAGAAAAGACGAACCTAGACCGTCACCCGTTATAGCTCGTTTAGTGAGGCAGGCAGTACGAGACGAGCTGGTACACGGAAGAAAAGTGAAAAGGGACTTTTCAACTCGAGACATTGGCTGGCAGGAAAACGAATCCTTCCAGATATATATGGGTGAAAAAAGGAGTCCTGCTAATAGACGACTGTATTGGCTGGCACGTCAGAAGAGAGCGGCTGGTAAGCTAAAATACGAATGGTTTTTGGCGGGTAGATTGCGCTGCAGAAAAGGAGATGGCCATCCAGTGATATACATCAACCAACCAAATGATCTAGAGGTTTTCTGCTGACCTTCTGATTTACGTCAATTTACAGATTGTATGCGTAAACTCCCAATTATGTTCTATTGTATAATACAGCACCGTGCTGGGTTGCCCATCTATTATTATTTCTCTATTTTAGTCAATTTTTTTTTCTTCTTTTTCTCCTTCATATTTTTGAACCTAACTCTTTTTTGTTTGTTCTTTTTCTCTTCTTTTACAGTCATTATTTACTTCTTTCCAAGTTTAATTTCACGGTTTTCTCTTACTTACAGCGTCATCCATCATATTATATATACTTTTCTCCTTTCCGTTATGTTTAGCGTCTTAACTACTTGTCATGTTAATTCACAATCCCTTCCTGCTCACTATGACGAATTTCTCCAATATTTCACCAGTAATTTCTACCATATTATTGCAGTTTCTGAAACATGGGTTACGCCCTATATCCCTTCCTCCTCCATTTTCTTACCTGATAATACCTTTAACCGACATGACTGGGTGTCCCGGACTGGTCGAGGTGTTGGTCTCTATATCCACAATAGCCTGAAACCCAGTATTCTAGATATTTCATCCCCTTCCAATCATCCTCACATTAAATTCCTTTTCGCTGAAATTTCTTGTAAAGCACATCCTCTACTTTATGTGGTCGTATATCAACCTCCTTTGACTCATCCTTTGAACCAAACTTGTATAATTATGTTCCTTTCTATAATAACATTATAATTTCCAGTGATCGGTATTGACCAACCTCCTCACTGAATCCAATAACAAACGCTACTTAGAAAACCTCTTCTTCTCCCTTAACCTTTTTCAAAGTCAGACAAACGCACTTATAGCGGGAGGGAGGGGAGCTGGGAGATGGGGCCTCTCTGACCGAAAAATGAACTAATATGATAGACGAGAAATTTATTATAGATAATATTTATTTATAATAGAGTACCTGATTTACGTAAAAAGTGAGATTAAAGAAAACAAAAAAAAATTCTTTAATGAGATTAAAGAGCAAGAAAACAGAAGGTTGAATGGAAAAAGGTATATATATATATATATATATATATATGTATATATATATATATATATATATATATATATATATATATATATATATATATATATATATATATATGAGGAAATGGTGTATGTGGAATGCGTGCAGGGAGGAGCTGGCAGATGGCACTCTGCAACGAATAATCGAAAAAGCAGAACAAAACCACAGGAACGTATATGATGGATGAGAGTTCCATTATAAATAATATCCAATTTATTATAATGGAATACCTGATATGTGTGAAACGTGAGATTAAAGAAAACAAAACAAGAGGAGTTTCTTTAATGGGACAAAAGAAAAGAAAACTGAAGGTTGAAATGAGTAGGCTAATTTATGAGGCAATGGAGTATGGTGCCCTCTTTTACGTTTGACCGAAAAATGAACTAATAAGATGGACAAGAGATTTATTATAGATAATATTTATTTATGATAGAGCACCTGATTTACATAAAAAGTGAGATTAAATAAAAGAAAAGGAATTTCTTTAATGAGATTAAAGAAAAGAAAACAGAAGGTTGAATGAAAAAGAGTACGTTTATATATTGTAATATACACCTTTATTGGAAGTGGGTAAAAATGATTTAATAAATTAATGTTGAACAATTAAAAGGCAAGCTAATCCAGTCCTACAAGTGCAGGGAAAAGAAAATGGCTGTTCTGTATTTTTTCAAGAAGGAAAATCCCAAAGAGGAGAGGGACAAAGGTATTGGTTTTGGCAAACAATTGTTGCCTAGTGAACTAGTGAAGAGAGGATAGAAGTGACCCTGGCTCCAATGGGAAAAACCCAGTAATAGTATTACCATCTTGGAAGTTGTTGTTTGGCAGAGAGACTAGTTGTTTGGAATTACAACAGAGAGTATCTCCCAGGGAGTTTGAGTTGAGTAGAAGATAGTGTCACCAATTTGGAAGTTGTATTTGGCAAAACATAGGAAAGCATTTGTTGAAGACAAATGAATTTAGTGCAACAAAGGAAGAAAGAGTGTATATAGAAAAAAAGTTAGCTTGCCAATTAATATTTGACTTTATTTTAAAATCAAACAATGTTTATTATAGTTAATTTTAGTTTGTCTGAGTGTTTTGATCTGATTATCAGTAACCCACACCTGAGATAAATAAATATATTATTACTCTAATAATTTCGTTTATTATTTGATAACCTCTTATCTATTTAGGAAGTATCCCAATGGTAGAAAGTGATTGTTTGAGGTTATATTATTATTATTTGTAAAATATAAGAGGGATGTTACAATATATATATATATATATATATATATATATATATATATATATATATATATATATATATATAAAAGGCAATAGTATATGTGGGAAGCGTGAGGGAGAGGAGTTGGCAGATGGCGTCCTCTGTAACGAATAACTATTATTATAATAACAGAATACCTGATTTACGTGAAACGTGAGATAAAGAAAACTGAAGATTGAACAGAAATGAGTAGGCTAATTTATGAGGCAATGGAGTATAAATGATATAAGTGGAAAGAGTGATGACAGAAAACGAAAAGGAATTAAAAATGAAGGGGAAATATAATGTACTTTAGAACAAAACAAGGAAAATATAGTATGGTAAAATTACAAAGTCTATTAATAAGGCAATGGAGTACCAATAATCTATGTAGAAAGTTTTGATAAGTTATGGAAAGTTTAGGATAAGTTTTGGAAAAGGAGATAGCTATGGATGTTTTAATAAATTCAGAATTTGGGAATAGCCTAAGGAAAAGTTTTATTGGTCTGTTTTTAGATTCACTGTCTTACGTTGGAGCTGGATGTGGAGGGTTTCAGAGATCAGTCCTTTGTCATGGTTATGGATGGAGGCAAGGATAGAAGTTTTATCGAAATCAAACGTATGGTTTAGGAAGAGAGAATGTTCAGATAATTTGTAGGCGGTAAAATTACGAGAGGATACAGAATATTTATGTTGGGTGATGCGGTCTTTTAGAAGATTTTTGGTTTCGCCAATATAAGATGAAAAACAATTAGGGGTGGAACATGGAATACAGTAAATGATATGAGAGTGGTGTGAAAGAGGAACAGGATCTTCTAAGGATGTGTACAAATTTGAAAGTGTGTTATGAGATTTGAAGGCAAGTCTTAAGTTAGGGTTAGTAGATTGTAAAGCTTTGTTTATGTTGTCAGAAAGATTAGGAATATAAGGTAGAGATCTGTATATGGAGACTGAAATAAGTTGTGGAGAAACAGTGGAAGCCGAGATTGAGGAAGAGCGATTTTTGTGGTCGGTTATGACATGGAGAGGAAAATTATTATTTGAAAGGATCTGTTTTATACGTTGGATACTGGTTACATGAAATTGGGGATCAGAGAGGGAGAGACTTTGGTGGATGAGATTTTTAGCAACATTAATTTTTCGGTGGTAAGGATGTTTGGAATGGAAATTCAAAAGTCTTCGTATGTAAGTTGGTTTAGTGTACCAGTCTGTGGATATGGTGTTGTTAGGATTCCTTATGATGAGAAGATCGAGAAAAGAGAGAGAGTTATTTAATTCATGTTCTACTGTAAAATTGAGGCCTGTTATCAAACATTTTTACTTTCACCTACCTATAAATGCAATATATACTAAGGCTAAGTATTGCAATTGTGAAAATTTTCGAGTCTGAGTTTTCAACAGAAATACATGTTTTGGGGTCTCCTGAGTCCAAATAATCTTTAACAAGGCAGCTTGGGTGGAGTATTGGGAACGAAAACTGGATTGTGGAGATTGAGGAGACGGTTTTGCTCAAGAAAGTTGTTCAACTCTGAGTGAATTAATCTTACTAGAGGCTTGGATAAAATGGAAATGGGTCTGAAGTTGGAACTTTGTTCAATGGCCCGACAATGACTTTTTTCCAGGCTTTAGGAAAAATGGAATTTTTGAGGGGAAAATTGTAGATGTGTAGGAGTATAGGAAGTACAGAGTTTAATGATTTTCATAGGAATTTGGTCAGGACCACAGTCGCTGGTTTTGGATTTAAGGATAGTAGAGAGTAGGTCAGTTGGAGAGATATCAAGAAAAAAAAACTTATCTGGGTCAAAGGAGGTTTCAGTGATGGAAAAAGGTAAGAGGTCAGGTGTGGATACAGAAGGAGGATGGTTTGCCAAAAAGGAATTTAATTCGTTCGGATCTACTGGATAAAGTGTACAGGTTTTGGAACTTATGACAGAGAG